AGAGCAAAACATCTGTCCTACTACAAACTTTTAATGCTCCATTTAGGAATTCAGAGTTCTGTGATTCATGTCTCATCTATCTCATCATGAGAATTTACATAGTGTGGCTGTAGATTGCAATTTGCAGGTGTTTGGTTGTTCCTATTTAAATCCAGAAGAGAACAAAGAAAATCCTTCCATTACTACCTGGCAGCACAGGTAGGACAGTAACTGTGCCTTGTTAAGTGATAATTGGGACTAGTACTAGAATGTGGTCTTACTCCGAAACTGGAACGTTACTTGTTTAAAGAACATGCTACTGTGGTCGGAGACAGCTTTCTTAATGAGAGGTCACGGAACAGAAGGTTCCTTGTTCCCGGGAACAAGAACACTGCTGTCTGTGGCTGGTGAGGGGTTTGTATTTGGAAAGAAGGTGTTCATACCGCAGTGGAGGGCTGTTCATTTCTGGAAAGTGATCCTGGAACCTCAGTCTTTCCAAAAGAAATCCTCCTCTTTTTGTACCAATGAATAGGCACATGATAGTCACAGCCTTCATCCAAGCAGTCTCTTGGATTTTCACTGAGAGAGATCAGTGAGCCTCGGCTGAACCACTGAAGCAGTACGTTGGAATAAAAGAAACACTTTTTATCCTGAAAACACAGAAGTCACATGGACTTCAGGAATGAGGACAACCATCTCTGCTCAGCTTTCTGTGTACTTGTGGGATGCTTTATGTGGTTTTAAGTTCTCAAGATAAGTGTTCTGCAGGAAAAAATGCCAAATTAGTATTAATCTCCTAGGCTGAGCTGTCACTAGCTGTCACTATGTGGTAGCATAAATACAGGATACTGTTAAAATCACAGAATCGTAGAATGATCTGGGTTGGAAGGATCTTAAACATCATCCAGTTCCAACCCCCTGCCACAGACAGGGACACCTTCCAGTAGACCAGGTTGTTCCAAGGCCCGTCCAACCTGGCTTTCAAAACTAACAATCAGTCTGCCTCTCCCCCGTCTCTTAAAACCTTGACCTCTCTGTGTCTCTTGCTTTGTGTTTCCTTCTGTTACTCCTTATTGCTTCGCCACACGGATATCTCAAAAATAAATGTGTATTTGGAACAATCAGAGCTAGAAATACACACTTCTTAACTTGGATCTTGGTTGTGATTGGTTGGTTTGGGTTTTTTCCTGGTTGCATATTTTCTTGTTTAAAATTCTGACTTGCCTACTAGGCTAAAGATCTAATAAATGTTTGGTTAAAAAAAAGTTAATATTTAAAATACATTACTTCAAAATTTTGCTCCTTTTAACATCTACCCAAAGGGCACTAAGGGTGCCAAAGCTGTTATTGCATCTATAAGGAAGATGACTAAAAAGGAGCATGAGTTTATGCTTACAGATTCTTCAACCTAATAATTCTGGTTTTGAGAGGGACTGGCTTTCCTGCCTTGCCTAGAGATTATGTCCATTTAAAGGCAACTACTGCAGTAATCCAGAATAACATACTCTGTTTATATTCTAGTTTTATGTTAAATCTGGCTGTTGCAGATGTACACAAGTGTTGTTCTGGTAGCTCAGCCTCTTTACTGTACGTTTGTGGTGAACTTTGTTAATCATGCAATAACTGGGTGAGAGGATAAGCCTGTAGAAGAATTGTAAGCGACGGTGAACACTACAAAGGACTGCTGTCTGGCATATATTGTGTGAAGTTGTTTCATGTGCGTCATCCTCGAACACTACTAACAAGGCTGGATGTGTCGAGGGTTCCCATACTACTGAAATTCCACGCTTGGATCAGTGAGGTTCCCATCTTCAAGACTGAAACCTGAATTAAAAGGAGGGTGAATGTTGATGGAAACAGCAGCTCTGGAGGATGTGCTCTCTGGCTCGATGTACCACATGATGGGCGAGGGAGCTCCCTGGCTGCAGCTGGAGGAGGAGCCAGCAGGAGAACCACCGGTCTCCCCATCTCCTACCATTTTGCTCTGTGGCTCTGCCAATGGTATGTATCCACTTCGCCAAAAATGGCATCATACTTTTGGTTAAAAAGCATGGATTCCTGCTAACAGTAATTCCTGGTAATCCAGTCCAGGCTGGAATCGGACTAATAGCCTTGGAGAGAAGTGCCTTTCTAATCTCTTCATAAGTAAACTTCTACCACCACTGCCAAAGTCTGGACTTGCACTCAGCAAAATCTGTTCTAATATCAAGAAAAAGTAAGTATTTAAATGCTTGAAGGTGGTCCAGCAAATTCACACAAACCCTTAAATCTAAGACTAGTAATTATTGCTTCTTTTAGTAATCTCTCAATGATTTGTGATAACTTCCTCATAATCCTTTGATCTGCTGCAGAAGCTAATGGGATGGTTGGAGAAGAATTCTTTCAGATTAGGATTAAAAAATTCTTTATAAATCTGAAGCTGTAAAAATTAATAAGTAAAACATTGTATGTAAAAATTTATAAATCCCGGGTCTCCTTTACAGACTGAAACCTGAGACCTTAAATGTGAAGAGATGCAATATAAGCCTCTGAGTTGTTAGCTGGTAGCACTGGCTTTTTTCTTTTTTCTGGAGTCCTTTTCTCACTCCAGTTTTCTCATATCCGTATGTTTTGAATCATGTTAAGTGTAAAGGAATCACCATGCATTAATTTGAAATGGCAAAAGAACTGATTCTTAAAGTATGTATAATGCTCTATAAGCCTTATCACAAAATCCATTTTACTCTTTAACAGGAGAAGCAAACGCCTGGCTGGATGTCGTAAATGCCACCCAGGCCACTTGCTTGATCCATGTATTGTATCTACCGAGAGAAAGACCCAACTGGCAGCCTTAGAAAAGAGCATTTCTTTCAGTTGTTCAGTTACCCAGAGTCCAGGAAAACTGCAAGTGTTCTCGTTTCCTTTCCCTGGGGGAAAAATGGTTACAGATGTGACTACAGTTTTCAAGCTGTGGGCTTCCTGCCTCTACAACTCATGTTGCAGCAAACACTCCTGACAGGGAAAGAAGATGAGTATCCCTGCTTGCAGGACTTGAAGATTTCTTGCAACTCTTCCCAGCCTGGTATCCCAGTCTCTAATATCCTAGTATTCTGGTATCATAGTCTGTTTGTCTTCAAATAAAGCAGTATCTGACACCTGTATTTCTCTGGTGCCGTGTGCTCATTTACATGAGAATAAACCAAACACGGAATGGAGCGAGCTTTGTTTTAACAATATTCAGGGTTGGGAAAGGAACCTTGTAGTATTTCACCATGTAACCATAAACACAGTTGAGTAATATGGAACCTAAAGAGCCTTTCAAGCTGTCTTAATATTGTTAGTGCCAGTCAATATTTAGAGGAGAAAAACACCTTACATTCTTTTTTGTCATTAAAATTGACATGGAGGCAACTAGAAATTCTGCTATTCAGACTCAGAACAGAACAAAAACCAAACCCCAGCTTCCAAGCCTGGTCAGATGACAGACATGCAGACTTGCTTCTCACTGTACCTAGGAGTTGACTTGGTTCAGAAAGCTTAAGACGCTGAGGTCTCAGATGTTGTTTTTGAAAGAATAGATACGATACCTTAAACAGTTTTAAAGTAAAATCCAAGGATTTGCATCCCATCCTGGCAGGTATTTCCCATCCCGTGCCAAACTTTGTTATTCAAGCTGTCTGCATGGTTTTCCTGAAATCTTAAAAATCTTTCTAAGAATCTGTTAACTTCCCAAATTCAACATTTCTCATCTTTTCTACCAAGAATTCATTTGATCTGCTGTGGGTGCCACTAAACAATTCTGACTTCTGACCTGTGTTGCTGATGCCTGTCCTCCCAGTGAAGGGAGGAAGGAGAGTACAGTGGGTCTCTGAAGAACTTAGCTGACCATTAAAAACTTGATTGAGTGATAACTCTCACTTCAACCTGTGAATATTTGGGGGTTCTAGGAATAGCATTTGTCACTTTTTTAAAAACCTACATAAATGGAGGAGGAGGGAGGGGGTGGCTCTTTTGAGCCACTGAGTCTGTGTGCACGCCATAGTGGTGGTTAAGCACTGTTCAGATCCTGTGACAGTTCTGAAAACCTTATTTTCTTCACTTGGCTCTTGTATTCACTTTAGATGGTAGGTCTGAAGTAGCCAAAAAGGGCAGTTAGTGGTTTGTGTTGGTCCTCTTGGGTCTTCTGTGATGCTGGGATGTTTGTTAAATAGCTGATGCTGCAAGAGGTCAGAGCCTGGGCCACGCCGTGCTGTGCCTCATAATGATGGCTTCCTTACTACTGCATTGGCTGCGGAAGCCCTTGATGCCCAGTTGATTCACACTGGTTCATTTTACTTGCAGAGATCTGACTTCATAAGCTTATGTGCACTTGTGCCTTGTGAAGATCTTGTCCCAGGCTGTCACCAGTTCCTTGGGCTGTTCCTATGCCTCTCAATTCCAGTGTCCTCTTTACTAAATGTGCCCTTAACGTGCTTTCTGGTGGTTTTTCTCCCTGTAATCAGAGTATCCCACATCCACCTGGAAAACTCACTGGTCATGTGAATCCCAAATCAGCAGATCCCTTATGAGGAAACTCCATGCTGTTCCACCTACCTGGACAGACAGTTTCTGTGGTTGTCCTCCCATTCCTGGGGGCAGTGTCAAGGCCCTTTAAAGACATCATCCCCTGCTGTCTGTATGACTTAAAGCTGTTCTAGGCTTCACCTGTACTTTCTGTATGCCTAAAGATCCTTGTGCTCTGGTTTGGTTTTGTTGCACTCACACATGGAAACAGTGCAGGAAGCTTTAATAAAACTATTTATGTCTGTTGAAGAGATAACAGATGACGGACTGTACCTCTTCAGTAAATGGTATGTAGCTTTGTTCACATGGATACTAGGTTGTTTGGGAGCAGTGCTGCATTCAGCAGGGCAGTTCTGCGACTGATACTCCAGTGCAGACTTCTAAAAGCCACCCATCAGTGATGGTGAGTGTCACAGGTTACTGTCCAGTCACCCCATTTCAGAACAGGACATGTCTGTTGTCACTCAAAGATTGGGATGGTAATTACTGGTAATTCTCCATTGTGTCTAGTACTGACTGTTCCACTTTCTCCAGTGTTTTTCTGCTAAAGGCCGCTCTTGGCCGAACAAAGTATGAGAACACACTTTCAGGGAGGAGACAGAGCAACGTGCCCCATGCAAAAGTAAGGCCAGAACATCTTGTTTCCTAATAGTTCTGACATATCCACAGTTAGAACACACTTTGCAAGTGTCTCACAGATACTTTTGTTTTCCTTAAGCACAGAAGATACATGCAACACTGTTTACTTGTTTAGCCTAACTCCTTGTGATACTGGTTTAGGACTAAATCCAAAACAGAAGTTAGTGCAAGAGGATGTGTGTTTTTCAGCCTAGGAAGTAGAGTGGGGAGGCCTTGTCCTGAGAGCTGAAATTCTTCTTCTTTTTAGACTTGTTTGTACGGCACTAAAACCAGAAGCACAAATAAGCACCAAAAATGCTCTTCTGTTTTACCCAAATTCCGGCTCTGGAATTTGTACAGCATTTATCAAGAACACTGCTATGGGTGCCAAAGAATGAATGATTAATAACCCTGCAGTGGGATGGCCTTCTTTTACATCAACATGTTTATAACCAGTGAGATACAGATATTCCACTTTCTGTATTTCTGTCCAATATATGCTGCAGGATAAACAAACTTGTTGTGTTGCTGCATCAAAGCTGAATGTGACTAGGCCCTGGCTCACAGTAATGGAACTTGGATAAGGAAGGTTTGATAGAGCCCAAGATAGCCAATATTTATATACTTAATTGCGTAAATATTTCAGAAACCTTCAGGTAGAAATTGAGCAACTTCTTGGTTGTTTTGCTTTCTGAAGCCAGAAAGTGAGCTCATTCAAAGCAGGAGCTTATTGAGCACTGTCCTGGGTTCAGCAGTAGCAGTCATTTTTCTCCTTCTTAGTAGCTGGTGCAGCGTTGTGTTTTGACTTTCAGCCTGGGAACAGTGCTGATAACACCGATGTTTTTAGTTGCTGCTCAGTAATGTTTACTCTGACCAAGGACTTTGTGAGTCTCATGCTCTGCCAGGGAGGAGGGGAAGCGGGGAGGAAGCAGAGACAGGACACCTGACCCAAACTAGCCAAAGAGGTATTCCATGCCAAAGACGTATTCCATACGTCATGCCCAGTACATAAACTGGGGGCCGTTACCTGGAAGAGTCAGATCACTGCTCAATCGGGTTGGGTACTGGTTGGTGGGTGGTGAGCGGTTGTATTCTCTTCCCTTGTTATTTCCCTTATCATTATTATTACTGGTGGTAGCAGTAGTGATCTGTGTTATACCTTAGTTACTAAACTGTTCTTATCTCAACCCGTGGGAGTTACATTCTTTCGATTCTCCTCTCCATCCCTCCAGGAGCGGGGTGGGGGAGTGAGCAAATGGCTGCATGGTACTGAATTACAGGCTGGGTTTAAACCACAACAAGCACCTTCCAGTGAACATACCTGTAGCTGCCACAGTGGTTTGAGCTTGAACACAACTCGGAACTGACTCAGATCACCCAAACGTAGACTCACAGCTGTCCTGTTAGTGCTCTGCTCCTCTGGGCTTGAGTAACAGACTGAGCAATATGACCACACAAAATGAAAAAGTTTATAAATGATCTTATCTGAATTTAACCTCAAATTTATATCCTTTGAATATTCTCTTCCCAACTTCTTCACTGCAGTAGCACAGTTTGTTACTGCAGTACAAGTTACAGCACTTGCTAGCTGCTGCTCTGGAAAGAACGGTGTGTTTTACTTCTTTAGCAGCAGGATCCTGCCATCTGGCACACAAAGTATTTATGCAAAAATCTTGCTGACCCACAATTCATTATGTGTTTTTCATAGCTCTTGTTGAATGAATTTATGAACAACATGTAAGACATCTTAAAGTCAAAACAGTCCTGAAATGATCTCTCAAACAGGGAAAGTCAAAAGTATTTAAACAGTACATAACATAGTCGTTGATATTCACTGCTGATGGTTTTTTGCACAGTAGGCTGGAAATTGTGTCTTAATGCAGCCTAGTTTTTCACAATCATTTGATATCCTCTTCCCCAGATTAGCTGTTCACAACTGTAACTCTCAGTTACTGTTAAAAGTATATGATAAAACTCACAGAGTTTTCTAACAGGACTAAAGACAACCCAGTGGCCAGTGCATGGCTGTGATTTCAGCTGGGAGGTTTTGACTCATCAGAAAAGAACACCAAATCATGGCACCCTAACCAAAACTCAGACCCTCACCATATACAAACTATATGTGTGTATACAGATATATTTTCATGCACAGTATGTCTGCCTCCATTCCCTTTTCTATTTTTCTTCTTCTTTGCAATGGCTTTCCATTCCATTCCTTTCCATGCTCCTAGCCAGGACCCTAAAAAAACAAAGGATTAATTTAAAAGAAACAAATTCAGTTGAAATGAGAAATGTTATTTTCACTACATAAAACATCACAACGCATTACAACAAGCCTTTATCCTCACAAGGCAGTTCTTTTACTTCTGGTAGGACTTAACATACCAAGGTACAGATAATACTTAGAGCCTCTAAGGTTAAGTGCTTCACTTATCATTTCAAATGTGAAATCCAATCAGTAGTCATGTACAAACACACCTGAAGCTTTAGGAAGTACAGATGTTCAACAACTTAAGATATATGCTCTCAGCATACAGGCAGTTATTTTCTGATTCAATCAAGTATCTGTTAGTCCTTTTCATACCATCGTCCATATAGACCAGCTGTCAAAAGGCCAAAAGATGTTCTATTTTTGCTTATGAAATAGTGGTTGTTTTTCCAGCCCATGTGATCAGCAAAGTCCAAGGTAATATCAGATGTCAGCAGTAAAGGAAAGATGTAAGGGGTACTCATATTTCCCCATAGCTGGAAATCTATCAGAGCAGTGGCATGTGTAACTTCCTCTCCACAAGTGCTGAAGTTGAGACCACCACACTTTACTAATGCACAGGCCTGGACATAGTATGTGCCATGCACTGTATGGAGCCCATCAAAAACTCCCAGAGCATATAACTCATCGGTTAAAACAGCTCTCCGATAGTTTAAGTAACAACAAAGGGTATTGGCACAAACTCTGACCTCTCCTTTTTCCCCCCATACAGGAACAAAAGTAAAGTTGTCATACATCATTTCTGAATAAAATACAGGAAGGAACTGTTCATTTCCTTTTTCCGACACTCCGCTGGGAGTCTCTTCTCCCTCCTTAAAGCAAACTTGATCATCCAGTGAGGTGCCTATAAAAGTCTTGCATGAATTATGCAAGTTTTCTCTGACTCTCTCATTACTCTCCACATCGGTTTTATAATCTGTGGTAATCACAGGAATTTCTGCTACTATGAGCTTGCCACCGTAACTTTCCATGTTGTGGTAGATGAACGATTTGACTGGAGTATATATGCCACTCCCTGTCATGCCCAAGGTAGGGTGGTGGATATTAGCTGCTAAAATATTGATGTTGAAAGCTGTTGCAAAAGCTTGTTGAAATTCTACAGCAGACAGGAGTGGGAGCTGGTTCATCCACGCAGTTGGATATACAATTTGTTTCAAATTGTATTGTCTGATGAGGTTCACTGCAGGCTCAAAAAAAAGTATATCAAAGCAAGTGAACATGCCAAACTTGCCAGCAAAAGGGGTATCAAAGAATTTATAGTCAGGTTCTGGTGGGGTATCAAAAGCATATTCAAAGTACAGATTGTGTTTGCGGTATGTGGCTACTAGCATGCCATCAGCATTGAACGCCACGTTGGTATTGAACTGGTATCTTCCATCAGAGGGACAGTGAGGATCTGTGTGCTCACAGGGCTGCTTAGTTCCTAAGTTTGCCACAAGGAATATTTTGTTCTTCAGTGCCATGCAGCTCAGACGCTGAAGAACCTGGAGAACAGCAGGGGGAAATGTAAGCACTTAAGAATGCAGACGAGTAAGCTTTACTTAAGCAGCTGTGACTTATTTAATATTTTTTGAATTATTATTTTCAACTGGAAAATGGAACTCATTTGACCATATCTGTAAAATCTAAAAGTTCTGATGATCTGGAACCAGTAGCTTTCTAGACTGAAAAATATTTCAGATACTAATTTAAAAAAAAAACAAACAAACTGGGTTTTATATCCTGAGAAGTAAGTAAATCTCTCTATTTCAAGGGTATTTATTTTCAGAAACTTCTGACTCTTGCAGGATCACCAATGGTTTAAAACACCACAGGTCAACTGAAAGCTTTGACAAGGCAGCGTAACTCACCTGTGTGTCTGCCTTTAGAACAGCAAACATCTAATTATGAACATCAGTGGCTTTAAACTGACAGAGGAGAGATTTAGATTAGGGATTAGGAAAAAAAATTCCCTATGAGGGTGGTGATTACACTGGCACAGGTTGCCCAGAGAAGCTGTGGCTGCCCCATCCCTGGCAGTGCACAAGGCCAGGTTGGATGGGGCTTTGAGCAACCTGGTCTAGTGGAAGGTGTCTCTGCCCATGGCAGGGTGTTGGAACTGGATGAGCTTTAAGGTCCTTTCTAATCCAAACCATTCCATGATTCAATGATTTGCACCTGTAATGGCTTGTTCCTACAACTAGATATTTTTACTCTATAATTAAAAAAAAAAAAAATTTGTAGCTACAACTTGAGACAAGCAGAGATGGAAATGGGTAGACTTTGCATAGTTATAGAAAGGAAATACAAAAAGTCACAGACTACAGTATTACTGGGGTGTTTTTTCTGCACCATAGGCTGTATGTATCAAAGACCACCAGTACTGCAATCTCCAAATAGGATCTGAATGGCAAACTCAGCTCTGGCTTGCTTGCCCATCCTCAGTGGTAGTAAAGATTCACAGGGTGAAGTAGGTCACCGTTTGTAACCCTGATTCATGTTTGCATACAAATTCGGCTTAGTAGGCACCTGCAGAATTACTTTCATTATATTGACTATTGTAACGTTAATAAGAATAGTTTGTATTACTAAACATGGTTATTTTCACTTCAGGTTCAGAACAGTCAAAAACTACCAGTTCTGTACCCTGCAGGTCACACTTGGTATGTACCAAGTTGTGACCTCTATTACACTATAGCAGGTCAAGTCCAGTTACTTGTGCTGATCGTTTCACATACAATCACCAGTCAGAATATTCTGATATCATTAGGTCATTAAAACTGCATAATGGGAATGCATCAAAAGTGAAGATAGTGTTCTGTTGTTTTATATAAGACAATATTGTTCAAAATTAAATCGCACAATGTATCCTATTAGAGAGTAATCACCATTTCATGGGTTGGGAAGGATGAGATGACAAATCCAGATGGTTCATAAACAAGCTAACCTTCTTGCATGTAAAACTCTCCTCTGCTAAGAATAAAACCTGCATAAACTTGTGAGTTCATGAAAACAGAACCTAGTACTATGAGTTGTGGAACTTCTTGCTCACCTCTTTAAGCAAAACTACTACAGCCAGTTTCCCACTTGGAGCACAAATCTAGCATTCAATTATTCCACCTCTGCAGAAATCACTCCTACATTTACCTCTGTGTCATTGAACAAATACGGCTCTCTGCACGGATTCCACTTCACAGACTGTGAATGCAGAACGAAATCTAAGTAAGGATAAATGGAACTTCTGGTGAAATTGAAGCCATGGATTCCATCTTCAGGAAAAACAATGATTTGTGCCCCCTGTATGTAAAACAAAGACGTGTTTTGTAGGCAAAGGAAAACCAACCTATATACGAAAGGGAAAAGGGGAATCTCATGGGTAAAAAGAGCTAAGAAAGTAAAGGATAACCCAAGTATGTTTTGACAAAAATGTAGTTTCAAAGTATCTCTTCCTTGACTTCATAGTAGGTATAACTATCTGTATTAAAAAAACCCAACAATTTATTTAACCTGACATATACCTCTTACCTTGAAAAATAACTTATTGGATGTTAAAGGCATGCAAATAAGAGCAGACTTCATCAAAAGTCTTACCAAAAGTATTCTTCATTGATCACCATCATCATGGCTTGACTTCACGAATGAAGATTTGGGAAGGGCTTTACCCACACTTACTACAAGCGCGCTGATGACTAAAAAGGCCAATGTGAGCTGATGACTAAAAAGGCCAATGTGAGATGATAGGCAAATCCAGCTGCAAAAAGCACAGCGAAAGGTCTCCTTGGGTGGTATAGGCAGGGCGCAATTCTTTCTATGTTCTCCATCGATATGAATCATGAAAATGACATCATTCAGGTTAAAAACTAATGATGTTACAAACTAATGATGTTAAAATTTGCCTTCATTTTCTTTTCAGAATTACACTATTAGCACATGAACTTTGTCAAAGGTGCTGTACCCACGTCAAAGGTGCAAGCAGCATCATTTAATCCAGTCTATACACTTTGATTAGGTATATAGGGTTGGATAGAGTACTGGGAGTACTGATTCCAGAAACAGCTTGACTGTGGTTTGATAGAGCTTTGAGCAGCCTGGTCTAGTGGAAGATGTCCCTGCCCATAGCAGGGGGGTTGGAATGAGATGACCCTTAGGGTCTCTTCCATCCCAAACCATTTTATGATTCTGGTAGAAACG